GCCTTGCACAAAATCCACTGGAACTTTATATGGAAAATTCTTCTGTAAGGCTGTCTAGCCAGTAATTGTGTGTTCGATATTGTACTGTTTTTGAAAGCCCTTGTTATTTATCTTTGTGGTAGGTTATTGTCTCCATGAACTTCTTTGTTTTCCCCTTTGAAGGTGCCCCTCGTTGCACCGGCTTGGATGCACGCACAGCTTCTTGGCGTCTAGACTCTGCAGTGCAGAGTTCCCTTTACTCTCAAATGAAGATCAATATTCTTTAATGAGACTCTGTTCTTTTTCCTTTAGTGGGTCTCTCCTTAGGTTTACAGCATTTAAATACACAAGCTTGTTTTAGTCCTGTGTGGCAGCTTCACATTGTTTTAAATTGTAGAACAATGTTAATGAAAGAGGCAACAGTCGACAGCCTTGACCTCTAGTTGTAATGGGGACCATTTAGGACCACTGAGAAGTTTTTCATATTAGCGATTGGCTTGAGGTGAATGTTATTTAGTGTGCAAAGGGAATATTACTATAAGTCTAGTTGTCAATCTCCTCCCCTCCGCCAGGGTCTCACACGCTAGACAAGCAGACACGCACTCTACTATTGAGCTGTATCCTCGGCCCTTTTTTTGACAAAACTAAACAGGAGCACTGAGTTACTGAGTGATTTGAGCTCACTCTGTAACCTCAGCTAGCCTTGGGCTTGTGATCCTCTTGCCTAAACCTCCCGAGAACGAGGGGCATGCACCACTAGGCCTGACTCTCTCGTTTCTTTAGGAGATTAATGAATTTATCAGATGTCTTTTGACAGCTTGGTCTCTCTTGACCTATTAATTGTATTCCAAGAATCAACTTTATTTAGTCATGGTTTACGGCTGTGTTTGATTTGCTATTAATATAGAATTTCTAATTATGTATTAGGACGATGAGGCTATCATTTGTAGCACTCTTTTATGCTTTGCTATTCTCACTTTGAAATATGAATTGAGAAACTTTTTTTGGTGGGATTCGATAGCTTCACTAGGGTTTCATTTCCTGGCTTCCCTTCTTGCTGCTGCAGGCATCCCGTCCGCACTGACCTTTCCAGCTCTGCTCCTGCACTTCCATCCACTGACACTGATCGTTTCATGCTGAGCTCCTGCTTACTCATCCTTAAGAGCAGGTTCAACATTCCATACTCCCTCTCAGCCTTCCAATACTGTTGTAGCATTAGCACAAGCCTCTATTCCAGAATCAATCATACAATAGTTTACTAATTTACTTTCTCTCTAACAGGTTCTGAACTTCTTGAAGTAGTGTCAGTCACACATGCATTTGTTTGAAGTTTCTAAATCTCCAGTGCTCATCACAGAAGCTGATATATAACATATGCTTAATGACTCTTTTTTGTATGAATAAATCCATGACACATTTTTGCTTTAAAAATTGACAGTGAAAAATTTCAAAGCCATAGGCCTATACTTCTTTGTCTTTCTTTGATAATAAAAGGATAATAACCACTCTGCATTCTGCACACTTTCAGAGTTACTGTGCTTGGATAATGGGTATGAAAGTGTAAAGTGAAAGAATGAAGCACAAAAATACAACCCAGCTCGTAGCCTTTCTTTGATAATAACAACAGGCCATGTGCATTGAACATTTACTATGCTGCGGGTGTGGAATTATCAAAATTATTTCTCATAACTGCCCTTTTGCTTATATGAATCCCAGAGAGCTTAAGTGATTTATTTGTCTGAGGCTGAGCAGCTTGACAAACCAAAGAGCCAGAATTTAAAGCAAGACTTTTCAAGGCTCAGAGCTACAGTCTATTCTCTATGACTCCCGTATAGCTACAATGCCCTTCATAAAGATGAGAAAAGAGACAGATAACAAGCAGAGGGTGGCAACTTGCTCAGACACATTATTTCCCAGGTTTTGATTAAGCTTAGTGCTCAATGGGAAGAAAACTAATATCTATCCTTGATTCGCCTCATTTGTCTGACGAACATGGGGCGAGGCAGTGACGAGGTTTCCTACATTTCAGTCTGTGCCATGATGTCCTGTATCCTGAAGGGATAAACATGGCTATGGGATGCTTGACCACATTTCTCATTCCTTCCATGAAGATCTGAAAAGGCAAAAGAGGGAAAGAGGGAACAACTTTCCATAACTCACTAATGTCCCAGACTCTTGAGCTCACCCACTGCCCCAAGCCCTTAGGTGAGTGTCCCCGCTATCTGAAATGTGAGAGACTTTGTTTCTTCACCTGCCTCAAAGGCTAGGTATAGCAGAACTGCTACCACCAGCAGCACAGTATGGAGAGAGATGGCATGGCATTTTACTGTTGACAATCTGCCAGCTCCAGGACCTGCTCATTCCAGCTCTAGCCATGCTGCTCGTTCCTCATTCTAAGCAGTGACCCCCGACTGAATGACAGAAGTGGCAAGAGGTTGTTCAGAAGATTAAAGACCCAAGTCACCAGAGGCTGCTGTCTCACAAGACTATTTAGACATTTTCCACTTGACAGTCATTAATATTCTTCCGCAGTGAATGAGCAGGAGGGCTGTTCAAAAAAGCTCCTCTTCAGATCTCTGTGCCTTGGAAGATAAAGTGAGTGTGAGGGTTTTGTTTTGAAATTAAATATTCATTGGATTGGGTTAGTGTTGTTACTGTTCTTGAGAATAAAACCGGATTTTCCTCTTTGTTTTAAAACAACTACAATCATTTGACTTAGGAATCAATTTCTGTACCGAATCAGACAGGGTAACGTGTAGTGTGATTTTTCTAATATAACGGACACAACTTGGAACTGAAGACAGAAGGACTCTAAGTGTTTAATAGAAGGATTTGAGCAGGGTGACACTGCAGCAAGAACCACCACAGGACAGAGGACAGGGGCTCGGGCTCGGCAGCAGCCTTTGCCATTGGTCCAGAGCTGTTTCCAAGACTCAGATTCAGTCTCTCAGCCTGTGAGACTGGGAAGATGCTTCTTTCTTCTCAGGCTTTGCACAGGATTTGGAAATGATGGCTGGGAAATAAGTGGCCCCAACAAAGCAGGAGCAAACACTGGTGACTAAGCTCATACTGCAGTATAGGCACTGAGAACTGGTCACCGAATGGCTGGGAAACTGTTCACATCTGTGTCCTCCTCCCCCCGCCCCACTTCCACATCTTTGAGGCACCGTTGCTCACATTTTCCTTGAATTGAAACATCTTTTTAAAAGCTTTCAGTGCTTTGAAGGTTGATTTCAATGAAACCTGTTTTTATTCTAGGCGTTATTCCTACTGTCACTCTTGAGTAAAACAAAAAACATTCGCTGTCAAAACAAGGGTTTGCTCTCAAGCCTAGAATGAAGGCAGATATGTCTGCCTGATTTATTTTGGCATACGCCTCACAGTTAAATAGGGCACCTTTTAATTTTTCATTTCTTTAAGATTCATTTAGGCTAGTAAAGTGAATCTTTAGGGCTTGGTTTCAATTCAACTTGAACTAGTTGTATAAAGGGGTTTATTCTTTATCTTTTGCACATCCACCTCTTCTAAGGTGCTAACTAAAGAAGCAAGTATGTGTTTAATAACTTTAGAGAGCAATGATCAAGAATCTTTTATTTTTACTTTAACCTTGAGAAACTTAGAAACCTAACTTATTACTACCAAAGGTCAACTAGGGTCTGGGATGAGAGACACAGAGGTCAGTGTTTCCCAACAATCCTATGTAGAGCTTTATAAAATTGACTCTAACTACTTTTAAATTTGAAATGTGAGCCAGGCGTGGTGGTGCACGCCTTTAATCCCAGCACTTGGGAGGCAGAGGCGGGCGGATCTTTGTGAGTTCGAGGCCAGCCTCGTCTACAGTGAGTTCCAGGACAGTTGGGGCTACAGGGAGACCCTGTCTCAAAAAGACCAAAGGAAAAAAAAAAAAGACCAAAACAAAACAAATTGAAATCTGTAAGGAGAGAGACTCAGAATTCAAATCTCCATGCTTCTCCTTGCAAGATGGAGAAATTAATTGCTCTGTATCCCAGCTTTCCTTTGCCTGCATTTTCGTAATGATCTGCACTCTTTCGGATTGTTTAGAGAAGAAACTAGAGACAAAGAGTGCAAAGCATCTAGGACCCATGAGGGCCACAGCGGTTCCTCAGGAAGTGAGCACTGGCGTTATCATTAAGGCAAGCTGCCACGTGTTCCGGTTCTTCCCCCCAGGAAGAACATCTCTTCCCATATGGGACTCATTTCTCCTGTCTGCTCCAAATTTACTTTGCTGGAATCTAAGCCCATTCTTTCCTTTTCCCAAAGTTGGTGATAACATCTGTTTAGCACCTTCAGTGTAACAAGGCCAGACCGAGGGTTTGTGTTTATGTAATCATTAGCACAACTACTGCTAGATAGACATGAGTTTTGGCATCTCGATCACCTAATTATAATCTGGTTCATAACTGGATGTGTAAACTGATTTAGTTACAGAGTAAAAAGCACATGCACATTAATATATGGATGTGCTTCTTGGTTCGTCAATATGCATGAAAGTCCCTCTTCCCCAGACTCAGACTTTCTAAAAATGTGAATGTGTGGAACACGTGAAAGAGCTTACATGCTTCTTAGGACCCTTAAAGCAAATGGCTTTCAAATGATGAGGAAGAAATCCTACAGCAGTCTCAGCTAACCTTGGTTTTCCAGTCCACTTTATTATTATTTTAGACTTTACTATTATTCTTTTAGGAGACAGCAATCCATAGAGGGTGTTCCCCACTTTTGAGAGCTCCATAGTACCTGTGGTCTGAGCACCACATCTACCCAAGGTTTGCTTTCCTGCCTCTCTCTAGCTCCATTCCCAAGGGCAGCAGGTGCCTGTATCCTGCAGGACCCTCTACATGAACTAAACCTCAGTGAAGCTGGCTCTTTCCAGCTCAAGACCAGGGAACCAGAGGCTGTCTTCTGGTCAGATAGAAACTTAAGACAGCAATGGCTTCCTCTTCTAACCTATCACCTGATCATCCATTGGAACCTTGTGGAATAAAACCAGGCTAAGCTGCTGTTCTCAAACATGTTTATTTGTAACAGTTTTACATGGCATGTTACAGAAATTAATGGAAAATTTCTAAAAATTTTGCTGTTCTGTTGAATGCATTGTACATAAAGTTAAAAATAATGTGTCCATTTATGTTAACAAACTGTCATCTGAGGTAAAGTTAAAGTAGGTCTAGAAACATACTGCAACAGTCATTTTTCTCTTTCTCATCTTTATTAAAAAAATATGTGTCAGAACACAGAAATTGAAATGAACCAAACCCAGAGAGTAAACATTTTTTTAAAAGAAGGTGCCCGGTCCATTACATGATGGGGTTTCTGTAGACACTGGGATGAGTACACACTATCAAAAAAGTCTTGAGTCATGTAAAGATCAAAGAGCTATGGGGAATGGGGACAGAATGACAGGTGGCATTTCCCTGGTTTCAAAATTTAAAGTGACAAATTTAGTGCTAGGGGAGGATGAGGAATTAAGAGTTGTACACATGGGTTTTCTATTGATCTAACCGGAACTGTGCAGAATCCCCACGCTCTTTTGGTATTGATACCTCAGCTCTTGTTTGGACATGTCACTGTGTTCCTGGGATAGGGTATGGTGGCTCTGGGCTCACCAAATGGTGCTTGAAAAAAATAAAAATTCTTCCAATGAGAATATAGATGGCAGTTTTAAAAAAATCTCGACTTTATTTCCCTCATTTTAATGTCAGCTGGGCATCTCCCTAAGTTCTGAGCCAGTTACATTTTCAGTCATGTCCAATGAAGGATGACACCCTCCTATGAAACTGACTGCAGACAGTGTTCCTGGAACAATATCAGCCAGAGTTCACTTTGAGTGTGTCAGGAGCAACCCAAAGAATTGGAATAAGGGTGTGACACTGTAGGACAAACTCAGACAGCCATACTGAGGGAGAGGATAGCACCACTTGTATAGCATCAGCATCAGACACCACATGACCGAAGCAGCTTTCTGGGAAACTGCCTATCTTGATAACTCTTCAGAATAACCGAAGTGCTTTCAGGACAACTCTCATAGCTATCACACCTTCCCACTTCTCCTCCATGTGAGAGGATCACCTAAGCATTACAAGGATGGATGCATGTTTCTGGAGAAATCCTGTACCAAGAGGCAGCAGCTTTGGGGGTGGTCAATGGCCTTTCACATTTCCCTGGTTCCTGGGACCTTCCAAAGTAGAGGAACATTTACATACAGTTTCTAATGGGCATGTGGTCTGTTTATGTATCTGAGGAAAAATTAGATTTCAGCAATCGGACTGTAAAGTGTGGGCTTCAAATAATAACAATCATCTTAATGTCATATAATGATTTTTGTGTGAACAGTCACTTTAAAATCAATCTTCCAAAACCATTTTATAGTTTCTATTGATACAAAGACACTAAAGCACATGGGTCTATTTCAATGAATCACATCAAGGTAAGTTCTACTGCTCAAATTTTAAAACTGAGTCATAATAATTACCTCCAAATTTAATCCCATGATTCTTGGGTTTCCTTCTTAGTGTTAAATCACTAAATCCAACATACCACAACTGCATAGGAGCTTTAAGAAACACATTTGACCTGTATAACAATTTCATATAGGGCAAAAATATATAGATTCTTTATGAAAGTCGTGTGCTAAAGATATGAACTGAACACTACATTTTTGTTTCATAGGTGTAAAAACAGGAAGCTGAAATTCTTTTGTTTCATGTACAATCAGTCCAGTGATTTATGGAACAGTAAGTGGGAGAGATGGGAGAGTTCCCAAATCGGAAGGTCAAGTCTTCTAAGTGTGAACTGCCTTTCTCTTACTTTGAGCTTAGAGTGAGGACTCTTCAGGAAAAGCCAGCTATGAAGCCCGCCCCGCCCCTTCCTGTTCACTAGCTGCTGATTGGTTGGTTCACTGCTGCCTGCCAGCTGTCTCTGAACTCAGATCACCTATCATTTGCTCTGGAATAACATGTGGAAAGTGAGCCCCATACATCACACTTGTCACACCTTGCACTCAATCTGCTACCTTCTCTACAGTGTAATGGTATTATTAAAAAGCATCTTCATTGACATTTATATTTACAAAAAAAGCTGACAAGTTTTTTTTTTTCATTAGAACTCCTTAAAGCCATTTCCCTTAGTTAAAGAGTTTAATGGTAAGGTTTTTCTTTTCAAGTTAGAAAATAAAAATCCCATTTGAATTTTCCGATGTACAAAAAGAGATAGAGATGAACCATTTTGACCACAGGATCAGTTTGTTATACTGAATATTTTTGTTACCATTGTTCCATTAGAAAGTTGGTCAAAAACCACATTACCAGAATTGTATGAGAATTATTTGGCAAATGACTTTTCTTTGAAAATGGCACGTGGAGAAGACACTTGTCTGCATAGTACCACAGCAGCGAAGTATCAGAAAAATAAAAATATCATTTTATTGGACTCAGGGTTTAGAGCATCTGAAGAAATAGGACGTATTTTCCATCTTGCTCATCAATGGAATTTGATGTCCTTTCCTGCTCACAGAATGAAGGTTCCTACTGAAAACTGTCTTTCTTCACCACGATGTAGCATAACTAAAGGGTTGTTTTGGCAACATTCTTGATCATAATGAATAACCAATCACTTATTTGTCTTGTGATTTCAAGTTAATTCACTTCATAAGAGGTGACATTTCCCCACCCCCCACCCCAGTTAGACTTCTTCACCCATTTCTAAAAAAAGCCAAAAGCAATACAAAATTTGTACACCTATTAATTTTCAAACATGACAAAGAAAGGAAAGGGGTTAGACAGAATGGCAGACCAGGCCCTGCGGAACGATGACACGTCACCACAGCCAAAGGCATATAGATGACGATGCGGTGGTCATGAGGATCCCCTGCTTTTGCATAAAACGAGTCAGTGTCGACCTGGTTGCAGTTCTCTGAGGCCTGCCACTCCAGATCCGCAGTCTCTACAGTGGTCAACAGAGAGCAAAACAAAAGCACAATAATAGTTTCACATCCACAGGCTTCTTAAACCCAGCTGAGAGAGCTCAGGATCTTTGTCAGGTTAGCATTTGCTTGACTGGTGACTTTACGTTGGGTGTGGGTTTTTAAAAAATACTTTTGTGGGGTGGTGTTGTGTTTTTTGTTTTTGTGCTGCCATAAATATCTGTCATAGGTTGCCAAAAACATTTCTTTCCCTCTTCGGACAGTTCAATTGGTGATTATGAATTTCTCTGTGGGATGAGGTGAGGCGAGAGATAGAAGAGAGCCTGTCGTGATGCTGATTTCCATGCCAGTCTTGAAGCACCCACCACGAGCTCACATTGATGCTATTTCTTAGGTCTGTTGATCTGCGCATAGAGAGGCTCTGGCTCCTGTGAAGAGAGGCACAAAAGTCAGGCCTGGCTTTCTACCACGAGGGTTTTGAGATGGCTTTAGGAAGGAGGGTTTGGGAATAAAAACAGAAAGGTGACAGCTGATGATGAATGACCTTAGATTGTTTTTGCATTGTCCTATCTTGTTGCACATCCCTTCTTTATGCATGGTGCATACCAACATTTTTATCACCCCTAAGAATGACTCAGAATGACTCATCCAGCTGTGTGTGTGAGAGAGAGTAAGAGAGAGAAAGAGAGAGAGAGAGAGAGAGAGAGAGAGGGAGAGATTTGTATGTGCTTATATATGTATGTATATATATATATGTGTGTGTGTGAGAGAGAGAGAGAGAGAGGGAGAAAGGAAGAGTTCTGTATGTGCATATATATATGTGCTGATGTATGTGCACATGTATGTGCATGTATGTGGAGGCCAGAAGTCAACCTGGGGTGTAATTCTGCATGTGCTATCCACCTTGCTTTTTTGTTTTTGTTTGGTTTATTGTTTGTTTGTTTGTTTGTTTGTTTTTTACCTCAGAGTTCCAGACACATGGTGCCCACCTTGCTTTTTGAGACAGGGGCTTTTTGGTCTGGAGCTCACCAAGTAGGCTAGTCTGGCTGACCAGAGAGCCCCAGGGATCCACTTGTTTCTGCCTCCCCAGATCTGGGATTACAAGCATGTACCAATATGCCTGGCTTGTTATGTGGGCACTGGGGATTGAACTCATGTTCTCATGCTTGTGTGGTATACTTTACTGACTGAGCTATCTCCTTAGTTCCTCCAGCTTTGTCCTTGGTTTTGAAGCTGATTCCCTGTTAGAGTAATAACAAGGCATAGTAGAAAGAGCTGGACAAGCTGTGTGATGTGGGCAAGATACTTATCCTTTCTAAGTCTCAGTTTATCCAACCACAACATGGGACTAGCATTGTTTAATCCTGCATAGTACTTGAGAAAAGTGGAGACAATTCACAGAAAGTATCTAGCATAATATTTGGTAGTACTGGAGGAAAGGGAAAGAAGAAGAAAAAGAGAGAGAGGTCCTCTCATCTGTAGAATTGTTTGAGTTTGCAGTGTCTTCAGGTCCTACTTTATCCACCAATAGTCCTGGGAGTGGCTCTTACTCTTTCTGTCCATTTTGCACATAAATCCGGAAGTTCAGAGGGATTGTGCAGCCTCAAGAGTGTCTGTTATAAATGGGAATGTCTCGCCCATCATTCTACAAATGACCGATCTGCAGCCCAGCCTTAGTCCCCAGTGTCACCAGTACTAAGGAAGTATGCAAGAGTAGAATTCAGGACTGCCACCACCAGAGCCATCACATTCTAGGACTGATTATGGGGTACCCTCCTAGGCAGAAGGAACTTCTGTCCTGGCCACTCCGTTCTGTAATACAGTGGAGTTGGCTCTTCCACGCTCCATCCACGAATTTCACCCTACCCCAGCAACTAGAAAGAGGAAATGCCATCCTTCTTCCGACTCACTACAGGAAGAGTGGAAGCCCAGCCTTCTCCACAACTCCGTGGGGTCCCAACTGCCACTTCTGCCATGTACACGCAGGAACATGGCACAGTAGGTCCTCAGTGGGAATCTGTTGGTTAGGGTATGACTATGACAGTTTCTATTTTCTTTGATATTCTGATCTCTTTGTCTTCAATACACTTCAATTTGGCTTTATTTTCATAAGGTTGAATTTATCAAAATCTATAGCAAGATGATCTATTAAGTATCTAATCTATTCTCTTTCAATATCTGAACTAGTTCCAATACTGCTGTAAGAATAAATTAGAACTTTTCTCCACCCCCGTGTGTGTGTGTGAGTGTGTGTGTGAGTGAGTGTGCACACATTTTCTACAGCTTGGGATGCACTGAGTAAACAAAGGTGGAATAAAAAATTTGTTTAAAAAAATAACTGGAAAGTAAATATTTTCATCACCTATGTACCCCAATGTTTCCTTCATGGGCTTTCTCAGCCCCTCCTTCTCTCTGGCTGCTCTGAGAAGTCAAGCTGCCTTGATCTCACCCTACAATTTGCTCTATTCCAATTTTGGAACCTAATTTATCCAACTGAAAATGACACCTAGAAACAAGACGACAGCGGACTCAGACAGGGTAATTAATGCCGCGCTGCATTAACTTTCTACAGCTGAGATAAATATTCACACAGCTCCTGCTTGCCGGAATCTGGCTTCAAATACCCATCACAACAGTGGTAACAACTGCAGTCAGCTCTCAATTACCCCCACTAATGAAGGGGAGCAGTGGTGTGGAAAACCCCGAGTAGCAGATAATCCCAAAGTCTGACACTCTGATGCATTATGCGTTTTGGCAATGGCTTTACCTTCCTTGTTACAGAATCTTAGACTGTCAGAACCAGAGGGGGGCAAAAAAATCATTTGATCCAGAAATTTCCAGCCTGACTTCTGGCAGGGTCCTGATGGAGACTTCAAGTTATTTTCAATATTCTGAAAAGCCTAAATGGAATCACACTTGAACATAGAAAGCCACAGAAGGCTTTTTGTTTGCTTTCGGAAGATAGTACCACATCTCTGGCTTGCTTCAAATCCTTCAAAGGGTAAAGTCAAAGCTCCTTAGCTGAGCAGACGAGCCCATTAGTCTGGTAGTCCATTAGCTAATAAATGCTCCTTCTAGCCATGAATCAAAGCTCAACCTTCAGGTCAACATGAATCACATTAAAAAAAGGAAAATCTTTTTACCTCTGTCACAATAATTTTACTATGTATCTGATTTTGCTGGTCACAGACCTCCTGACTCCTGCACAGAGGATCCTGCCAATGCCGTTGTGGGTAAGAGACCTCCCCTGTTATAGACTGCCCTACTCTTCAGGAATGAATTACATGTTTCTGTACAACAGCCAAGTGATCTCAGGATCAGTGATAAGAGCTTATGCTTACCAAACTTTCCCAGGCTATGAAGGACTTTGCTACATCATGTGCATGGTCTATGTGAACTCTTCACTGTGGGCTGTGATACCCAAGGAGTTCCTGTCCCCACTGCACTGCAAACAGCCCTGGCTCCCCAGCTTGGTGACTTGTCCACAGCTACCCAGTCATCTGAGCTTGGTCACAACCAGGTTTTACTTTAGTCTGTTTTAGGTTTAAATATTTTTTTACAGGTTTAAAATATAAGTAACAACAATTGCCATTTTAACTATTTTAATTTTACTGTCCCGTGGCATTAATGACATATCTAAGGCTGTGTAAGTATCACTAAGTTTTCTGAAACTCTTTCATCACCCAAATAAAAACACTATATCCATTAAGCTTAACTCCTCATTCCTCACCCCAAGCCCCAAACCTCTAATGCACTTTCCATCTCTATGTATTCACCAGTTCTCATTATTAATAATAATATTATTATTAATGGCACTATATAGTCACAGTTTATCATAGACTATGAGAGGTTAAAATCTTTACAGGCTAGTGTTGAAGAAAAGATTCTTTTAAAAATATTTTATTCAGCCGGGCGTGGTGGCGCATGCCTTTAATCCCAGCACTTGGGAGGCAGAGGCAGGCAGATCTTTATGAGTTTGAGGCCAACCTGGTCTACATAGTGAGTTTCAGGACAGCTGGGGCTACAGGGAGACCCTGTCTCAAAAACAAAAGACAGACAAATTGTTTATTATTTTTATTTTAATGAGCACGAGTGTTTTGCCTGCATGTGTATAAGTATACCACATGCATGCAATGCCTTCAGAGTCCAGAAGAGGGTGTGAGATGCCCTGGAACTGGGATGGTTGTTAGTCATCCTGTGCTGGGAATTGAACCCAGGTTCTCTGGAAGAGCAGCAAGTGTTTTTAACCACAGACCCATCTCTCCACCCCCAAGGAAAGATTCTTAAGACATAATGATTTATGACATAACATAGCAGCAAGTAACAGAATATATGATTAACAGAGTTCTGTTATAATATTAAATGTTATACATTTATATCAATGAATTTATTCACTTACTTGAGACAACACCTTGATATGTTGCCCAGGTTGGCCTCAAAATTGAGATACGGCCTTTAATCCTAGCACTCTGGAGGCAGAGGCAAGCAAATCTCTGTGAGTCCAAGGCCAACCTGGTCTACATAGCGAGTTCAGGCCAGCTGGGGCTACAGGGAGGCCCTGTCTCAAAAAGACAAAAAAAAAAATTGAGATATGGCTCAGTCTTGTGGGTATTGGATTCCAAGAATGCGTCACCATGTCTGACTGTTATTCTTAAAATCTACTTTATTGAACTACAATGTTTCCCAACAATAAAATATACCTTACTATAAATGATTTCTTCCAACAATGAATATAATATCATTAAAATACAGGGAATATCCACTACCCTTGAAAAAAATCTACACTATACACAACCCCCCTTTCCTCGTTGCTGCCTGTCTCTCCTTCACTCTGGTGTCAGAAACTACTGTGTGCTTTCTCTCACTATGGACTGCTTCTGAATCTTTCAAAAATTACAGAATGGAATTACACAGCATGTAGCCTTGTGTCTGTCTTTTTTTCAAAAGAATGTTTTTAGTTCATTCATAGTATATTTAGGAGTACATTAATTTTACTATTAACGACTTTATTCATATATACTTACTGAAGTCATTGTGATGGACGTGAATTTTTTCAGTTTAGCATTATTAAATGATACAGGTACTTTACACATCCACATTGCAAACCTTTGGTTAAGCTTAGGTTTTCAATTCTTTAAAATATGTCTATGAGCAAAATTACCAAAAATTAATTTGTGTACATTTAATATTATACAAACCTGACAAAGGGATTATATGGTATCAGAGAAAGCAAACTCCAGCCTCACCAAAGGATGGTGGTGTCACTCTTTGTGGCTGTGTGTGTAGGATTTCATTCTGGTTTAAATATGCAGTTCTCAAATGACTAAAGTTTGTCGTCTTTATATATGTTTACTGGCCATTTATAATAATATGAAGGGATTTTTTTGTTCTTTTCACTTTTTATTGAACTTTTGCAATTTTCATACAG